TTTTGTAGCGTTCTTTGAAAGCAAAAACACTCATTTCCAATCTTATAAAAAGGTTACTAACAAGCCTATAAAGCTAGAGAAATTTGTGGAGGATTGCTCCATGTGTATGAGGTTACTAGTACCCTTGTGAAGCTAGGAAATATGTGGAGGATTACTCCATTTGTGAAGGAGTTGCTAGCACCTTGTGACACTAGAAGATAATGGAAAATCTCAAGTGAAATTTGAGGAGTAGATGTAGGTTTGGTTGAAACCGAACCACTATAAATTCTATTTGCATTTCTCTTCCCTAATCTCTTTACTCTACTGCTCTGGCTAACTGATATATTTGGTTCCATTGATTGTGTTTGCAATAATTTATTACTAATTATCTAGAACATATTTTGTTAGCTATTTGATATTCATGTGATATATTCTCTGTGTTAGCTGATCCACTACCATTTCACTTATTGTTTTAAACTTTGCTTGATCTTTATCTGTTATACTAGTTAGTAAGCTTTTTATTGGGAAATTGTTAGTTTTAATTTGAAAAAACCTAATTTACTTCCATTCTTAGGTTGCTTTTTGGATAACATAAGGCAAATTATACTTTATTTCCCTTAACTATTTGTTATTATCAGTTCACTACCATCAATTAAAACTAATACATTCTATTCCTTAATTTTTTGATTTCTTTCAATCTCAACATTCTATTAATAATTTATTACAAAAGAAGATGAAAAAAAAATAGTATGTGAAGTGTGCATACCAATTTTATGATCAAAATGTTTATTTAAAAACCAATTATTTATATAAGTAAGCTAATTTATATGATATATATATACATATATTGTCATAAAATTTACATGCACGTGCCATATGCTACTATTTCATTTTTTTTTTAATTTAATAGAAAAACATTAACATAAGATTGAGATTGAAATAATTCAAAAGATTAGGAGATAGAATATAACAACTTTTAGTTAAAGGAAATAAAATGACAAAGGGCCTTAATTGAGATTGAAGGTGTAAAATGTAATTTGCTCTATTATTTTAAAAGAGTGTTGCTGTTAACACTTGTCTAAATTTTTTGGACCCCTAATTTCTAATTTTTTTTTTTATTACAATTATATCTTGAAATAAAATTATATTAAAAGACATCATTTAATGAAATATTTACCTACCAAATAAGAACAAACACTCTATAACATTGTACACCCATCTATACCCCCACATCCAGCTCCAACTCCAGCTCCAACTATATGTATTCCACCTGTCTGAATCTTAAACCTGCTACTTTTCATAACCAACCGACATAAACCCTAAACTTGTTACTCTTTATAACCATCTTAAACTCTGAATGTATCATCTTCGTTACCATCATAAGCCCTCCTAAACTAGAAACTTTGAACTAAAAAGCTCTTTTCAAGTCCAACTTATTACTCTTCATTAGTTATTTCACCTTGTAGAGCAATAGAGGATGATGACAACAATTTTGATGAGGCTGACATTCTATTGGTAAGTTTATCTGTTTTCCATTAACATTCTCTGTCGTTTTCAATCATTATTGTTTTGTTCGAGCTGTTCGGTATTGATTTGCCGATTGTTAAGATTATGTTCGGTAATATAGTACTGAACACAAACATTTAGTTCAATAGATGAGTTTTGAACAGTAATACAAATAGTCGGCACTGGTGTGCTAAACGATTCGATTTTTGTATCTTCAATACCAGATTGTGTGTTTCGTGAAAAATTTACTTGAGAGGAATTTTTGACGAGTTTTCTGCAATCGTAAACAGGAATTTCCGACGAGTTTTCTGATGGTATTCTTTGGACATCGTCAAGTCGATTCCTCCTTTCATTGAGAGTTGATAGGAGTTTCAACGATAGACCGTCGATACAATATTCTTCACTAAGGCAATGGTGTTTATTGACCATTGACATTCTTTTCAACAGGAGATGGATGGCCATCAAAAGAAGAAGGAGAGAGGATGTATAAAATTAGGTGGGTGTACCATCAGGTGTGATAATATTATGAATAGGGTTAAATTTAATATTAAGTGGAGTTTAGAGTGGAGGTTCAAAGAAATAGAGAATCCAAAGAACTTAAGCGTGCTAATAGCAGCCCTCATTTTAAAAATAACAAGAAGACATTAGTTCTTTTTGAGGTACTCTTCTCTCAATCAATTTCTACTATACTTTCAACTTCTCGTCTCCATAGAACAAGTTATATATATATATATATATATATTTCTTTATCAACAAAGAATGATGATAAAACGAGACTAATTAGTATAAAATTATTATTAGATTGCTTGTTTTACTTGCTATGATTTTTCTTACAAAATGAAAATTCAACAAAAAGTTTTGATGGCGAGCAATGATAGCGTTGAAAGGAAAACTTAAGCGAAAAATAAAATAAATTAAAACCTCCACGAGATGGATGATACAAAATCAACAAACTATGTTAAAATCATCTTAATTTATTATAGGGGTGCAATTCAGACGAGTTCAGTCAGGTTGAGAGGTTATTCAAGTCCAGTTCAAGTTGTGCTTAGACCTGTCTAAGCCCGCCCAAGCCCGAATTATAACCCGAGGTTGTCTGCCCAAACTCGACTCGAGTTAAACTCGAATTGTCTGAGTTGTCCGAATTATAAATGAATTTTAAATTTTTTTTTTGCAACTACATTATTAAATTATTAAAATTTGACTCTATTTATAATTATTATTATTATTTTTTTCATAGAAAATCATTAATACCATTCAAACAAATAATTTCTATAATGTAAGAGAGATGCTACTATAGTAGTCCTTACAATTTATGAGTGAAAATAAAAAGAAAAAAAAGTAAGATTTTATGTTATTTGTATATATAATATATATTCAATATGATTTAATAATATAAATTACTTTAATATCATGTAATGACTAATAATTTATATGTATATTTAATATTTATATATATATATAATTCGGGTTTCGGGTTGCTCAGGTTGCTTGACGTCTTTGCTCAAACCCATCCAAATTTAATTCGGGCTTCTGAATTTTTGCCCAAGCCCGTACCGAATTTAAAAATATTTTGTCCAAGCCCTAAAAAAATTCGAGCTGAGCTCGGATTACTCGGGTTGAACCTGCCTAAGTTACATCCCTAATTTATTATGGTTGCTACAATTGAAAAGTGAGATTATGATTATTACTTACTTTAAGCACTTAGGCATAGTTTGGGAAGTTGGTTTTGGTGGGTTAGGGGCTAAAATAGTTACAAAAAAATAAAATAGGCTATTTTAGCCACAAAAAACAAAACATCAAATTCAACCCATAATCATTACACTCATCTCTCACAAAAAAAGTCAAAAAACTCTTCCCAAATCAAACTTTTTAGCCCCAGACTAAAATAGTAAAAAAACTAAAAAGTCAAAAACCCAATCCACTTCACAAACGGAGGCTTATTCATTAGAAAATACGTATTTATTAACCTAGATATGTAAGTAGGTATTTGGTAGGTAACAAACGTGGTTGAGTAGTACATTATCCATACACATTATCACATTAAAAATAATGTGATAAATTTCGATATTTTCACTTTAAAATAAAAAAATTCATCAAAATTACTCATATTTTTAAAATACCATAATTAAATTATTCTGGTACAAAAATATTTTTCAAAGTGAACATGTGTAACATTAGGGTGATGTATTATTATTGTCGTAAAGTCATTATTATTTTAGTAAATGAAACTATGCATTTATTAATCCCTAACTTTTCTTATACCTAACAAACTTTGGATGCATATCCTTTACAAATCACATTGTAAAAATAGTGCAATTTTTTAATGAACAACTATAGAGTATAATAAAAATTTAAAAAAAAAGAAAAAAGAAAAAAATGAACCTAATTAACTTTTGGGAGCTTATAAAAATATACTCATAAGGCCTCGTTTGGGATGGATTTTTTTAGTTTAAAAGTTGAAAAATTACTATAAATTATCACATCACATCACTCTCTCTTTTTTTTATTTATTAATTTTTTCCTAAAAAATTAAAAAATTAACTAAAATAGTTAATTCCCAAACCACCTCTTAATTACCCCATCTTAGAAAGGTTTCATTTGGGAACTTGATTATGTTAATTAATTTTTTAATTATTTTATGAGATGAAAAAAATTATATTTGAAATGATTTATGAATTTTTTTGTAGTTAAATAAATAATTATAAGAAAAAAATAATTAATTAATATATAAGATATGACATTTAATTTTATTAATTATTTTAATATTTTATTATCTTTATTAATTATTTTAATCTTTACCAAACCCGAGCCCGAGCCCGGGCCCCGGGCTCTAGTAGGTAGAGCCCAATTTACACCCCTACTTCTACCATATACATTTCTCCCATATAAGGTTATGATACTTCGGGGCGTTAATACCACAAATATCATCATTAAATGTTTTCAGTTATAATTAAAAATAAAAATAAAGTCTCCGTTTGAGAAGTGGGCTGACTTTTTAATTTTTTGATTTTTTTGATTATTTTAATTTGGGCTAAAAAGTTTGATTTGGAAAAGACTTTTTGACTTTTTGAACTTTTTTTTATGAGAGAAGAATGTAATAATTATGAATTGGATGTGATATTTTATTTTTTGTGACTAAAATAACTTATTTTATCTTTTATGACTAAAATAGCCAAAAAAATCCCATTTAACTCTTACCAAACGAAACCTAAAAATGAGTTAAAAATTACTTTTCAATTTTTACCTCGGCTCGTAATCTTTCTTACATTGGGCTGTCTGGCAAAACAAACAAACAAGCAAAAAGCAAGGGGTAATTTCGTCATTTCAAAAGGTCAAAATTGGATGCTTTTGTAACGAAACCATTCCCGTAGTCGTGTACCGACAGTCCAACCCGGCGGGCAGCCCCACCATCATGACCACCATTATCGTCATCAATGATATACACCCATGCCCACATATACATAAACATACACATAAACATATACATACATGATGACATCACATTTCATAGAGCCGCAACCAAAACCCCATTTCCTCTCTCTCCTCATCTGGTCTCTATATAATAATGTATCCTCTGCCTCCATTTTCTCTCTTCAAAGCATTCAATTCTAATCCAAGCCCCAAAACAAAGTATAGAAATTCTCCTCACTAATTCCCAAAACAAATGGGTGAGGTTAGTACCCATCCATCTCACTTCACTAATCTTCTTCTTCTTCTTTACTGATTCCATTTCAATTTGCCGAATACTCATACGAATTTTCTTTTCTTTTCTTTTCTCAGAAAGATGCAGCGAAAAGCGGCGGGGACGAGAAAAAGGGAGACGCAGGAAAGAAAGAAGAGGGACCAACGACCGTGGTGTTGAAGCTCGACTTGCATTGCGAAGGCTGTGCCAAAAAAGTTAGGAAAGCTGTTCGTTATTTCGATGGTATATACTTATATCCCAATTCATTCAACTCTCTATTCCTATCATATGCCTACGTTTATATAAATTTATAGAATTGTATTTTGTCTCTGTTTTCTACTTCACAAAATCACAAATATTTTGAAATTTACGAACAATTCCATAACAATTCAACAAATTACACTCAATTTTATTTTCTTGAATAATTTATGTTGCAATTGAGTTCAATTTTATGAACTAAAATAAGAGTGATTATAGTAGGATTTTTATGGAAACACCAAGTTTTAATAGTGACATAATTTTTTCATTTAATTTTAAAAATATTTTATACAAATGGATAACTTGACTCAAATTTTAGAACTTGATTAAGATAATTAAAAAGATACAAATAAAATTAATTATAAAATGTAAGGATGCAGAATGAAATTTAGCATTCAACAAATTTACCTTAAACTTTGTATAACAGAGCTTTGAAAAATTATCTTAAATCTGTTTGTTCTTTTGTTCTTAATGTATGTGTTTGTGTGTGTGATACGCACATGGCGTATGTTAGAGTGGTTTGTGGATTGGCTAACATTTTCTTTTGGTGTGGTGGTTGGTGAATAATTGCAGGTGTGGAGGATGTGAAGACGGACATTGGGAGCAACAAGTTGACGGTGATAGGGAAGGTAGACCCGGCCAAAGTTAGGGCCAGAGTGGAAGATAAGACTCATAAGAAGGTGGAGATCATCTCTCCTCAGCCCAAGAAGGACGGTGGCGCCGCCGCAGATAAGAAGCCCGACGCTAAAAAGGAGGATAAGAAGGTCGACGACAAGAAACCTAAAGAGGTATACCATTCTAACTTGCGCCTGTTTTGTGCTCCTGTTATACCTCCTTCCCTAGCAATGTTATATCTAACCATCATATACTAAGGCCTCGTTTGGGAACAGGCTAATTTAGTAATTTTTTGACTATTTGGCTAAAAAGGTAGGTAAAAAAAATTTGTATGTTTGGGATGACTTTTTGGCTAATTACGAAAAGATGTGCAAAAAGTAGAGAGAAAAGAGAATCTTTGATTTTTTGGTATGGGTTGTTGGTTTTTTGACTAATTTAGTAACTTTTTGACTAATTGGCTAAAATAGCCTCTTGCCAAACGAGGCCTAAAAATAATATTTATGGTCTTTTTTTAAAAAGATGATTAAAAATCATCGTTAAACTTTTAATCAATCATCCCTTTTATTTTATTTATTTATTTATTTTTATATATTTAAAAAAAATCAAAAAATTAATTTTTAACTAACTTTTTAAATCAATTCATATGTAAAATTATTAATGAATAATTAATTTTAGGGGTAGAATTATTCCTCCTTTCCCTGCTAATTAATTTGGGAGGTGCTGAGTTAGTTGCGCATAAAGCGCATGTTAGGCACAGGGTCCAGTTTTGTATTTTCTGAGACTTGTTCAATTAATTTCCTTTGGCTAAAAGCCACTTATTTTTGTCTTTTCCAAAAAAGAGGGGGATAATTTGGAGTAAAATAATTTTACTTTAGGTCTCTATAAATTAAAAAAACTGAGTTAATTTTGAAAAAAAATTCACTCAAAACAAAAATAAGTCGAATTTTATAAGAAATGTTTACAAATATTGGGTTGTTTTGGGGGAGACATTTTTCAAAGAAAAAAAAAAAACTTTTAAAAAAATTTATGATGGTCTAGTTGAGATTTATGTTTAAAAAAAAAAAAAAAATCAAAGTTTGAGAGTCCCAAACAAAAAAAAAAAAAACTTTTAAAAAAATTTATGATGGTCTAGTTGAGATTTATGTTTAAAAAAAAAAAAAAATCAAAGTTTGATGAGTCCCAAACTTGTGTTACTTGTTTATTAATTTTAGTTTATCATGCTTTAAAATTTGAAGTATTGAAATTAGTTTATAGATTTAATAATTTGATTTTTTTTGTCTTTATTTGTGTATAGAGTACGGTAGTTTTGAAGATTCCCGTGCACTGTGAGGGATGCAAACATAAAATAAAACGAGCCATACGGAAGATCAAAGGTGAGATTACCAAACTTTGATTTTGTTAAGATATAATATAGTTTTATCACTTTAATAATTAGTTATGTGATGCAATCACCCATGCTCAAATAAAAAAATTATTGTATTTTGAGTATAAACTTGCTTAAACTATTGAATGATGATTAATTAGTATTCTAAGATCATACCCCTTGTAATTCTATTTTTTTTTTTTTTTATATTGTCAAGTTGCATTATTGTTAATTTTAGTTAGCCTAATTGTGATCCGTAATTGTGAACAGGGGTAGACTCGTTGACAATTGATGATCAGAAAAGTTTGTTCACTGTGAAAGGGACAATGGATGTCAAGGAGCTTGTACCATATCTAAAAGAAAAATTGAAGCAGAACGTGGAGGTTATACCACCAAAGAAAGACGAAGGTGGCGGTGAGAAGAAGGAGAAAGAAGGCGGCGGAGACAAAAAAGAGAAAGCTGCCGCCGCCGGCGGTGGTGAAAAGAAAGATGGCGGTGGTGGAGATGGGAAAAAGAGTGAGGAGGTGAAAGTTGAGGTGAACAAAATGGAACATTACGGATATTCTCCATATTCATTTTTTACTGCACCAATGCCTAGTCAGGGTTATATAGATCATGGTTATATGAATCAAGGTTATGGTGTACCTGTGTATAATCAAGGTTATATTAACCCTGGTTACAATCAAGGTTACATGGTGGAGTACTCGCACCCACCTCCGCCTCCTCCTCCACCTTCGTACGCACATGGTCCTAATATGTTCAGCGATGAGAACCCTAATGCGTGTTCTGTCATGTAAAAAAACGTGATAAATTGGGAGATGAGGTCATGGATTCAAATTGAATTGTAAATAAAAAAGGAGGCCGAGTATAATACAAGAACATATAGGAGAGGACATGAATTTCCTTTTGGAAATGGTCATTTTTAGGTCACGTATAGCTGAAGTGTGCCGGCTAGGCAGTTTAATAGGTTAAAATTGATAGGTTTGTTTTGACTTGTTTGTATTATTTACTTGGTTCTATATTCAATTTGTGTTCTTTATGTTAATCTATGGAATGTGAATTACACAAAAGTTAACGTTGAATGAGGTTTTTGGGTATCTGTTCAAATAAGGGCCTTTGGCGTGTTTGTTTTAATTTTTGTTTAAGTTAATGTTGAATGATGTTTTTGGATATCGGTTCAAACAAGGGCATTTGGCGTGTTTGTTTAACTTTTATGCCTAATCTTGTCTTATAAGTATATTTTTTTGACTTTTTACGAAAGATGTGCAGAAAAATAGAGAGATGATGTGACTCAAATAAGTGCATTTATATCAATCATGCTAAATAACTTACTAAAAAGTTAAAAAATTATTATAAGTTATCACATCATTTTTTATTTTTTATTTTACATCTTTTTGTAAAAGATTAAAAAATTATTAAAATAGTCTATTCTTAAACGATGTTATTTGATGTGAACGATTTACTGGTAAATTTAGAACTTAGTAATATTAGGCACTTAAAAAAGTAGTCTTGAAAATGAAATATATTGACCAAATGTATTCCGTTCATCTAATGAGGAAGAATTGTTGAAAAGTGATATTAATTTCTATAGAAAATATTGGTCGAATTAGTGACTTTTGTCGGACCCGTACAAGAAATGGTCAGAGCCTTCAATTCTTTTTATTTTCTAATCTCGTAAAATTCTTGAAAAGTGGCATTAATTTTGATAAAAATAAAAAATAAAAAAGGGTGCCAAATTAGCGACTTCTTCAAAGTGTTGTTTTTCCATTTAGCACCATCCCATTTTGACAATTTTGAGGGAAATCAAAATTACATTAATGTACAAAAATAATTTTTTTTTTTCTTTTTTGGTATTAAATTCTTATAAAGAATAATGTAGCAACTTATGATTCTTCTATTTTATAGCAAAGCATTACATTGTGATTTATAATTTCAAAAATATTACTATTACATTATTTAAAAATTTTATATAAATTTATTTTTGTATAACATTTGTATAGTATATCAACTAGCATTCACCCATGCTATGCACGGGATAAATATTTTTTGTTCATATATATTATACTCATTTTTTTTTTAATCATTTTGTTTCTCTCATATAAAACTTTTGATTTAACTCACTTTTTAGAAAATTAAGTTTTTATTTTTTAGTAATTTTTTTAATATTTTACATAGTTTTTAAAAAAAATTTAGATATACCTAATCTAGATACACTAAAAAAGTATAATATTTATATAATTTTTTTAAAAAAAAATTCACCAAAAAATAAAAAAATAAAAAATAAGAAAATTCAATACATTTTCGTATTTTGTTGTATTCAATAAATCTTTTAAAGATTTTTGTACAAATTTTATACCTTTTTAGTATATCAAGATTAAGTGGATCTAAAAATATAAAAATACGAATTGAAAACTGAAAAAGCTATTTTTGAAAATTCCAAACCAAATAGAGTATTATTTGTAAATTTAAAAGTTGTGTAAAATTATTAAAAAAAAATTAAAAAATTATGAGTTTAATGCACAAATAACTTAATACTTGTTATGATTTTATAATGTACATAAATTAATTAATTTCCCCTTACTCCACCCAAAATAAATTTAGTTGTATTATGTGTAAAATTATTGATTTTATTTTTCATAACATAAAATAAAAATAAAACTAACATGTATCGTTAATATAGTATTAAATTTAATAGATTCTTGCAATCTAAGAAATTAAAGAAGTAATGAAAATAATTAAATTTTAATCTTAAATTAAAAACTATAAAGAAAAACAAAAGAATTGAAATCATGTCTAATATGGTAGAATTTTCATTTCAAAACATAATATTTCCGATTTTCAAGCCAAGTATGTACATATATATTTTGGATTTTGTAAAACAAAATAAAACATGAAAGATTAAATTTGGAGATTACAATTTTCTGCAATCTCTGTAGTCAAAATACAAAATCTCAAATGCTTGGAACAAAAAATAAATTATTAAAGAAAAAGAAAAAGAAAAACCGAGACTTGCATTTGATGGCGGATTGCGGACTGCTGGCATTCACTGCTGATGAAGGAAGTTGATGAAGTATATGTATTTGCAGTAGTGGATTGTTAGAAGTAATGGTTTAAGGGGATATGGATAGATGGGTTGTTTTTTTTTATATATATCAATCTGTTGTAGGATAGTGAGAGAGTGGGATTGAAAGTGTTTGAGGGTAGGAGAGATTTGTTTGAGGTAGGAGAGTAACAGATTTGTTTGGATAGGTTTTGTTTTTTTGTTTTTTTTTTTAGTTTGGATAGGTTTTGTTATTGTTTTTTTTTTTGTTGACAACTTTTTATGGATAAGAGTTGTGGATAGTGGAAGAGTGGGAGTGAAAATCTTTGAGGGTGAGGGACAAACGTAGGGTAGGAGAGAAAGGTGGAAGAATATGAGTTTTTATTGTTATGAAAGTCTTTGGGAAGGAAGGATCTTTTATTTGACTCTTTATATTGTTTTGTGGTTGAAATTTGAATAGTTATCTTTTTATTTTATTTATTTTATATTTTTATCTCTACCTCTTTGTTGTTCATATTTAAATATTTATCATTTTATTTAAATATATATAATCCTTTTAGCTTTTGGGATTTAGATAATTGACAAATGATTAAAAATTAGGAAAAGTGAGAGAGGAGACTTGAGAAGTGATACGTAGGAGAGAGAATCCATAAGAATTTAGTATTAAGAGTTTGGAGATTTTTTTTTAATTGTTCATATATAAATAGTTAACTTTTTACTTTTATAATTAATTGACTCGTAATATTTTTTATATAGTTAATTTTTTTATCTTTTATTTGACTCTTTATATTGTTTTGTAGTTGAAATTTGAATAGTTATCTTTTTATTTTATATATTTTATATTTTTATCTCTACCTCTTTATTGTTCATATTTAAATATTTATCATTTTATTTAAATATATATAATCGTTTTAGCTTTTGAGATTTAGATAATTGACAAATGATTAAAAATTAGGAAAAGTGGGAGGAGAGACTTGAGAAGTAACACGTAGGAGAGAGAATCTATAAAAATTTAGTATTAAGAGTTTGGAGAATTCTCATACTCCACTACATTTGTTTATATATATAGTATAGATAAATCAATCCTCTAATGACATTAGAGCAGTTGAAAGAAACTAGGTTTAAATATAGATAAATGTCAAAAATTGTTCATAATGCATTGTTTAATATTTGACTGACAAAAATTTTGGAAATTAAACCCCCCCAAAAAAAAATTGAAATTAATGAAAATTCTTTAATTTGAAAATTAATAAAATTGTTTCATTTTTTCTTCTCTTTTCTTCCCCTTTATGCTCAAGACACATGTTAAGAGACCTTTTTGTATATAATATGTATCTGTATATCAATTCGGTAACAATTTTGTTTGGTACAATTTACGAAACTATTTTTTTTTATTATTTAAAAAATTTATATCAGAGCATTTGATACATTTTTTTGCTTATAATTTATGTGACAATAATAATTTAATTGAATTCAAAATATTGATTATTGAGAAATAAAAAAAAAGAGTTTTTAAAAATTTTGATTTAATAAACTGCACCAAATATTTGTGATTATGGTTCTATTTGGTGTAGCTTTTAAAACGGATTATAAATTATAACTTAACATATTATAAATTATGACTTTAATCAGAAACTGTTAATCTGTTTGGTGTAACTGTTGGATTATAGATTTAAGTTGGTGAGCAGTGTTTGTTAAATAAACTGTAAAGTAGCTTTTTCAATTAACTTTTATTTTTTACTATTCACTATTTGTCTACATTTTTCATAAAAAATAATAATAATGTTCTATAGTCTATTTATGTTTTTTTCTATTTTTAAAAAAAATAAAAAATAAAAAAATCTAAGAATATAACTATGAATTAACATGTCCACAGTAGAAACTGATAATCAGAAGCAAAGGGTGAGCAGCTTTTCAGAAGCAGTTTTTTTGACTTAAAATAAGTTATTAGAATCAGAAGCTGTTTGAAATAAGTTTAACCAAACAGTCTAAAATAACTTTTTAAGAGCCAAAAGCCATAAATTGGCTCAAAAAAGCCTCACCAAACACCCCCTATATATGCCACATTTGGAGAGGGCTGAAAACCAAACTAGGTAGTTGGAGTTATTTGATAGGATCTAAATAAGTATATTTTTGACTTTTTATAAAAAGAAGTATAGAAAAATAAAGAGATAACGTGACTTAAAAAATAAAAAAATAAAAAAATGCTATTTTAAGGGATGCCAAATAACCCAGTAGTAGATTGATGGGAATGCATGTGCTAGATTGATGCTGAAAAAGAAAGATGTTATTGCGAAGCCAAGTCCTTTACGTGACTTTTTCCCTTACATAATTTCGTTTTGTGACTTTAGTATTTTTGGTTCTCTTGTTTTTGGTTTTGTCAAAATTTTCTCTCAATTTCTCCAAAGTCCCAAACAAAGCAAATTCAGGCCTCATTTGGAATTTGGTTCTATAGTAATTTTTTGACATTTTTTTTTTTTTTTTTACTGTTTTGATTATTCAGCCAAAAGATCAAATTGTCAGAGACTTTAGAACAAACAAACTACTTGGGTCACCCAGGTTACTCACCTCCATATACTCATAATTGAGATATCCAGTTACTTACCTTTATACTTAAATATTCTAATGTACTCTTAATCACACAATTTTATCTCAGGATCTTCATTACTTTCTACTACTCAAGTGTTGGACAAAAAATAAAGAAGTTTGAGAATAGAAGATCTCGTACACTAATAGGAACACTTGACTATTGCAACCTTTCTTTCTTTTCTTAGTTTTTTAATTTTAAATATAAGAAAGTGAGGCAACGTCAATTCCTTTTTTTTTTTTGGTCACGAGTTAAGAGTGCCTTTGCACCATATCTACTAACTGCAATTTTGATTAAAATTATCATAAGCTTTGCCTTTTCTTTTAATATATAGAGAAGTTTAAAAAACCTTTCAAGAGCTTCAAACAACAACACCTTCAATCTATTAGCAAACCTCATTTTAGTTGAAATGCCCTTTAAAAGTTGTGCCTTTTCATCAATGCAAAGGCTAAGCAACAAAAAG